ATGGCGGGTGGCCACGGAAAGGTATGTGGGGGTGGTGTAGTGGGGTAAAAATGTATTAAGGACAAACGGTAGCAGGAAACGCAGAAGTACAGTGTGCAGTGTATGACAACTGTAGCCTTCTAGACCTGGTTTGCTCATTTCAAGTGGACACTTAACCGCAAACTAAAGCGTGCTAGAGAGTTAGCCTTATAACAATCACCCGATTCGATGAAGGCACGCGACTTTCACCGTGCAGATCCGGAGATCGATTCACTAGCGCACAGTAAAAATGCCATTAGATGACTAATGTTCTAATTAGATGAACAACAAAATGAGGCGGATAATGAAGAGGAGAATATGTTTCAGCCTAGTTTGGCTGTCCCCTCTCTTTTGTGCAATGCATTTGCGCCATGCTTCCATTCAATGACTTATTTGTAGTTTTCCCATTACTGCACTCTATACCGTAATGTTTTAATAATTTGATATGCCGTATCAGGCTTACAGCCTTGTGAAGTTCCATGAACAAGGCCTATGGCAGTGTGAACTCCGCAGTTCTTCATGGATTGGGGGTAACTGTGCTACATGGCCGAAAGTTCACTCAAAGAACTTTTATAAAGCCGTTCGCCTTCATTTGGAGCCGCAGCTGGATCAATGAAGCTGAATTGCGAAGTCATTCGAACTTACGGTAGGTGTCATGCAGACCGCATTATCTTTTCAGATGAATTCAAAAAGGCCCGCGAACATGAAAAGAAGTTTAAGTACACATCGGACATGGACACTTCGGATGTAACCATTCAGATGGGTCGTAACCATCCTCGTCGAAAGTAAGACTACCGTGCGTTTTGTCAAGATTTCTTTTAGGAATACCAGAGAACAAAGTTCTCCCTCTCCATCAGTCCATCACCGAAAAAACCAAGGTTGATGGTTCCACACTGCCCGCCTTACCCCAGCTTCTCGCAGGCGACACCCCGTGCCTTGTTCCACTTAACTCCAGAGCTCGTACCCCAGCATCCCGCACCTGTCCCGTCTACATCCAACCAGCCCGTATATATGACGCCGCAGACTGTGCACCATCTGCCGCAGTACGCTTTGAACACCGCTCCGGAGATCCCTATGTNGTTTTATCCCCACCATCTGCCCCTTTCTTCCAAACCCCAGGAATCGCAGCACTGCTCCAGCAGAACGAACAGCTGCATCGAAAAATGGACGCAATGGCGGACGATCTTCGATACCTGAAGATCCGCATTTGACAACTCCTGTTACAAGTACATAGTTCTGCTGGAACTACCGGCTTTACTTCCACCCTCCGGAGCAGACGTTCGTGGGACCAACTGCAAAGTGAGCTGGCAGAGAGACCTCGCCAAATAGAACTGGTAATTCAGTGTTGTTGATCTCACTTTTTTGGCCACAGGTGAAAAACTTCCGATTTTTTAGTGCAGCTACCATGGCGGACCTAGCGCGCCTATGTCTCCGACAGGCGTTGGCTGATGAATTCGCCGTCATTGTCGCCTACGCCGGGTCTGTTGACAAACTTCCCTTCCGCCACACTACACTCTGCACCTTGATCGAAGGTAGGTGATCAAAGATAGCTTGCTCACTGTTGTTTCAGAAACGATTTTCGGTAACCCGGTTTCCAGACACTGTTGCCGACAGGATTTGGATAAGGCGATCCAAAAGTGGTTCGGTAACGAACGTCACCGACTGGCCCAGAGAACGCGCATGGATCAGTTGGCAGTATGTTTCGATTTTGCACTGGGACAAGTTTATCAGTAGTAACCCATACGTCGAATGCTTATACATATATTTTTTCACTGTTTCAGACGTCTGTATTGAACCAAGAAGCTGGCATCAACGAATTGGACGTGCCTCCGAACTGACTTGGTTTGGTTGTGAAACAGTTATTTTCGTATCGCCAATATATTTTTTATCCTTGTTTTGCGTTCTCTAAGATCCCGTTACTAGGTTTATTTTCTGCAGTGGATAAGACGATATGCACGCGCGTGGTTACCAGTGTAGGTCAGTCACGTTGCGGTTGTTACCCGCGAACCGTTTTGCGCGATTTTTTAACCGTATAACCGTATAAACTAAGAAGCCATCAGATATTCCCTCTAGGAAGTGCTACGCGACGGCACCGTTATTTAGCTTCTCCGTGGCCCCACGATGCGGTTAATGCGTGGTTAAGTCTACTGTTTTAAGCCGTCATGACGACGTAGGATAGGTCCATTAACAGCGACTAACGCTAGTATGGTGGTGATTTCACTAACGAGGGTCATTTAGTCGTCTAATCATCAGTAAACCCGGTTATTTAACCGTTTAACAACAGAAAAACATGGTTTTTTGACGGTTATTGAACCAAGCAATAACCGGAAAACAAAGTGATTTGACGGTTATTTAACGGAGCAATAACCGGCTTACACGGTTTTTTGGCGGTCATTCAACCGAGCAATAACCGGCATATACAGTTATTAGACGGTTATTTAACCGAGGAATAGCCGGAATACACGGTTATTTTGATGCAAATAACCACCTGTTAACCATAAAAGTCGGTTATATAAGACGGTTATATAACCGTCGTAAAACCGGAAAACTCGGTTATTTTGGACTGCGCGTACTGCTAGGGAAGCTGTCTGTTTGACCCAGGTCCTGTACCCCACGCTCATGGCCAAGAGCCCTCTACGCCTATCTCTGGGCATCCACAAATATTATCTCTGACCTCCACCACGTCAACGAGATCGACTGCTGACTTAAGAGTTACGGTAACTAATCAGCCCACACATGAGGCTGTGGTGGAGAATGATAGCACGGGTTCTCACTCTAGACCTCCTGACCTGATGACACTTCCTGTCCCCAAACCAAAGCGCTTCCTTGGACTCAAGTACCTGCTATCCAAGCCTTGCACTGTAACCCATTCTCCTGTACCAACTCCCCGAGCTTCTGCTCTTCGCCCTTCTACAAACCTGACTAAACCCGTGATTCCTCATAATCACATCTGTAGCCCCTCTAGCCGTGCTATCCAGTTCCCTGGCAGGGTCTCTAAACCACAACCACCGTTACATAATCCTAGACCCTATCAAGTTCCCCTACTCCAAACCCCCTTCAACTACAGCCAACGCAGAGGATTCCTGCTCACTCCCAGCGGAGCTCATCCCTCCCAGAGAGTTTGATTATGCCACTAACTTCCTCACTGCACAATGTCCCCTCTCCTCACCTTGCATCTCTTACCATAAATCTCTTATTCCATCTCCTCCAATCAGCCCAGTTTGGTTATCCGTTACCTCCGCCCCCAACGATTCGATGCTGAAGGCTCTACAAAACATATCCACCCGACTTCTCCCTGCCCCTGTCTTACCTTCTCATTCCCTGTCTCTTAAACACTTCCCCTGCCCTTCCATCCCGCGTGACCTAAATCCCGCTGTTTCTGTTGAGCTACCACACACGGTACCATCTCCTGACTAAGTCGATTACATTATTACAAACGATTGCCCGACCCAACCCGTTACTCTTTGTCCATGGAGCTCCGCTACCCGCCCTGCCACCTAAACGCTGCCTCGGTACCCATTGCGGTGCGCCCCATCATCTTATTCTCACGTATTTTTACTTGGTCCTACTTCGCCTACTAATTCGAGAACCCCCGATTACCCTGTCTCTACTCCCTTCCATACTGCCTCCCTGGGCTTAGCAGCTTCTTGCTAGCCACATTACCCACCTCCCCCGATCCCGCTAGCAATCTTTCTGTCGTTCTAATCAACACCCGATCTCTCTTACCTAAATTGCACTACAACCCAGCTATCTCCACTATATCTCGTTCAACCTTCATTTGCATCACAGAGACGTGGCTCTCTCCTTGATGCTCTTATCTCCCTTCCGGGATACGCCATCTTGCGTTCTGATCGTTCCCACCTCCGTGGAGGCGGCTGCCTCATGTACGCCAGAACTGAAATGGAAGTCTCAACCATTGACGATCCACTACTGGCGAACACTCCCGACTCTGTTTGGCTTTCTGCCTGTCGGGCTAATCCACCGTTCATCCTCGGGTGTTTGTATATGCCCCTCCACACTCTATTAGCTCGATTAATCGTCTATCTACGCTTCTTTCTCACACTCAAGCTCTACCTCACCCAAACAAACTAATTGTTGGGGATCTCAACCTTCCTGAGATTGCCTGGTCTCAACAATACTCCCCTTTGCGCCTTTCGCCCCTGCTTACCCAACTTAATGTCGAAGGCTTATTCCAGCTTGTAAGGCAACCAACACGCGGTACCCACACCCTGGACATTGCCCTCATCAATGGCTATCTGTGTCTCACCGCTGCAGTTGGTCCGAAGTTTCCTGACAGCGACCATTGTATTGTAACTTGCAGCTGGACAAGTACTCTACCTTCAGCTACTCTTCCTCCCTTAAGTGGCTAACATCTTTTACGGCAACTTACTATCGTCATTATACCTAGTTGCTTCCACACGAGCTTCCTATGCTTCTGGTTGTCATCTAGCCACACGACTACCCGCTACACGCCATAAACCTAGGAAGTATCGTAGGCTCTTCCTTGAATCCCGTGATCTCTCCCTCCTTATCAACAAACTTATGACTGATATTACCACGGCCAAACTCGCCCTTGAAAAGTGTGAGGAATCGACCGCCGTAGCCCATTTTCCACAGCCTAAGGTGTTGGGGTGCCTCTTTCGCCGGCGTTGCTTCTCAAATTCATCTGCAGTTTCAAATATTGTTTCCGCTGACGAGAAACCTTTCTTTGACCCCTGCTGACATTGTGGAATCCCGAAACTCCTACTTCGCCAGCTGCTATGCTCCCTTCCCATCGACTCTATCTACTCATTGCTCCC